TAACCCAAGCGAATTATATATTTAAACAATAATAATAGTTAAGTAAATAAATATGTAATCGGCTAAGGCTATATTCGAAATATTTTATGAACAAAAATAAAAGTTAAAAAAAAAGATAAATATTTTGGTATGCTCAAAATTTGCCGCCCCTAAAAATCTGCCGCCCCAGGCCCGGGCCTAGTTGGCCTAGGCCTAAGTCCGGCACTGGTTGTAACTCATCGTACAGTCCCAGGCATAGGTCCCAGGGCTTTGACGATAGTCGTCTCGGTGCATTCAGTGATAAGGTTGTGTTTCTAAGAAATTTCTTCGAGTGTCTTAGACTGTTGGAGGATTCTCATTGCAGGTTACTGATGGAGTCTTCAGGTTCTTGAGTTCTACTTTAAGTTGGTTTCCACTTGGAAAGCAGTTTTGGTCTACTTAGTGGAGTGCTCGTTCCTTTTCTAGCAGATCATTTGCTTTTTCATTGCCTACTATTCGTTGGTGAGCTGGCACCCAGAGTAGGGGAACTTTGTTTTCTTTGCCTAATTTGTTCAGCTTCTCTAGGCATTCTTTGACCATCTTCGAATTGATGGTTACTGAGTTGATCAGTTGATCACTTTTAGAGCTGCTTGACTATGGGATAAGATGGTTATTTCCTGTTTTCGATAGTTCCTATCTAAGATAAATGATTGTACTCATCTTTCGATAGCGTAGATTTCTGCCTGAAGGATGCCGGGGTAGGTATTTAATTTTTGGGTTCAAATAATCCTATCCCTGTCCCAACTTTGGTTTTGGAAGCATCAGTATACCACGTTACTGTATGGTCTTTTACATGCTGACCAATGGCTTCTTTCTTCGAATCCTTTATATTGCACAATACTGCAGTGAAGTTGTACATTCTTCGTATGTCATCCAGTGGAGGAGTGGAATTTTCTTTTTGGGTGTGTTCCAAACCCCTGACCTTACAATTTTCCTAGTACTATTTCCGTCAATGGCCATTCTAATCATTGTCGCTTTGGCACATCTATCGACGACAATGTGCAGTGGTGTTAGATCTAGAATGACATTGCTGCTGTTGGGCATGTTCTCATGGCACCTGTGATTAATTTTGATTAACGTCATTGCTATTTTTTGCTATTTTAGTTAAAGAAGCACACACTTTTTAACCACCTTTCCCTTAGCATTGAGCCAAATAAATTGTGTGCTTCTTTAACATATTGAAACAGCAAGAAAATATGAAGTAAAAATGATATTACCATAGAAACACTTATATAGTAACTTTCAACGAAACTTTTTGAAGGAGAATTTTAACTATATTTTCGTTTTTTTATAAGACGATATTTGGGAATTTATAATGGGAATTTGGAACAGTATAATTGGGATTAATCATTTTAGAACAAGGAAAACTTTTATAAAGAATGCATTTTTCTCAAAAAGTTAATAATAAAAAAAGTGTTTATCAAGACAATCCGGGGACGAGTACAGGGTCCGGCAATAGTGCGTCAGGCATCTGTAGCTCCTAGAATAAAACACTTGAGAATTTTGTTTAAATTCAAACGCTAAGTATGTACCAGGATGTATTTCAGGAAAATATTTTAACTTCTATAGGGTGGCTCAAAAAAGTGTGAGTGGACCTGGATAATTTTTTTTAAATGGAACACCCTGTATATAATTGCATTTTTGGCTTCCTTTTAGATCACTTTACAAAACCCTAAGATATGAATAAATATATTTCGATAGTTTCAGACATATTAAAAAATATGTATTTTTCAGCCCTTTTTAAAAAAATTATTAAAAATACAAGAACTGTTCTGAAATCAAAACTATATTAGGTATTTACATTAGTTAGTCTGTTCTTACTTTGTTATAAATATGGTAATCGTATATCATACAGGATGTTCAATATTCTACGCCAAACTTTCTAAAATATAAAACAATTTTTCTTTGTTATTTTAAATGGAACACCCTGTATATTATTTTTTTATTAGATGGAGAGTTAAAAAATGAACATTTTTTGTATTTAGAGTATTTTAAAATTTTGAACGGTTTCGCAGATACGCGCAGTATTATTTCATATGGCGCTTTCAATGGTAAAATAGGAGATAAAAATCATTGGGCGGCTTTGATAAAAATTTACTGTGGAAAATGCCATATGAAATATAAAACCGCAAATATCTGCGAAACCGTTAAAAATGTGGAAATACTCTAAATACAAAAAATGTTCATTTTTTAATTCTTCGTCTACTGAAAAAATAATATACAGGGTGTTCCATTTAAAAAAACGAGGAAAAATTATTTTATATTTTAGAAAGTTTGGCGCAGAATTTTGAGCATTCTGTATAATTTACGATTTTCATATTTATAGCAAAGTAAGTACAGACCATCTAAAGTAAATACCTATATAGTTTTTATTTCAGGACAGTTCTTGTATTTTTAATAATTTTTAAGAAGGGCTGAAAAATACATATTTTTTATTTATTTTTTAATATCTCTGAAACTATCAAAATATATTTATTCATATCTTAGGGCTATGTAAAGTGATCTGAAAGGAAGCCAAAAATGCAATAATATACAGGGTATTCCATTTAAAAAAAATTATCAAAGTCCACTCACACTTTTTTGAGCCACCCTATAGAAGTTAAAATATTTTCTTGAAATACATCCTGGCACATACTTTAGGTTCGCACTTAAACAAAATTCTCAAGTTTTTTATTCTAGGAGCTACAGATGCCCGACGCACTATTGCCGGACCCTGTATATTGTGTTTAATAAGTTAGGGAAAATAATAAGAAAACAACTTTTCATACAATTTTTTCTCATTTGCGATTCGCCTAAAAAGGAATCTTAATAAAAACAGGATGTAAACAGAACGTAATAATACAGACTTACCTAGAAAGATAAAAACAGCGCTTTTCTATTATTTGTTTTAAAGTATGTAGCTCGTTAGGTAAAGCACCCATTGTAAATAATTCTTTAAGCTTATAGGATTTTTCACAGGATATTATAATCTTTTTTTATTACAGCATCTGTGACAGACTAAATTGTAAAATCGTTATTTTTAGAGCTTGCTCAACCGGGTCTCACAATGCAAATTCACCTCAAATATCCATTTAGTTGGTCATTGGCAAGCACTCTCTCATTGTACATGAAAATAACAAAACAAACATTTAATGATCTGGATAAAATTGATAGTTAAATAGTAAGACTCACCCGGGAGTACTCCGCCCCCTAGCTACTGATTTATTCTATTCAATATATCCCATTCCATATTTTCCATCTAATTCAAATATCATTCTGTTATATATTGGTTAATCATCTTTAACAACTAGCTAGTGTCACCTGAAATAGTATAGGGGCTTCCCCCGGACGCAAATCTGCCGCTAAACAGATTCGCATCCCAATCGAATAGGCTAGGGGTACCTCACTACCCCAGCGCCGCATCTTGTCAATCGAGAAGACAAGGGAGACCTCAAACTCTCAAGACCAACCTCGAAGGCAAGACGTCACAAGAGGTTTTCTTCTGGTCAAACGACCCGTTACCTTACAGTACTTACAACGTTTATAGTCAAAAGACTTTCAACCCCCAAATATCAGCTCTATGACAAAACACACCACAACAGCCGGCCGGCCTATCAACTACTGACTCGCCTCCGGCAAGCTAAGCCTCCTCTTACATCACAATTTTACCGGATCGTAAATATTTACATTACTTGCCAATGAATCATACTATTTTCTCTAATCGACTTTCAAATAGAGTGTTTTAGCATTACTAGATAAATAAATAGAGAGTTTCCGAATTATAAAACCATTATTATAACCAACTTATTTTCCATTATTTTAACCAACTTTTCTTTTTATTTATGTTTTACAAAATGATTCATATTACATAGGTAGTATTTTAAAAAGATTTTGAAAAAATCATCAGTGCAATTTAATTATTTTATTGTTGAGGTGTTTGAAATTAAAAAAAAAAATACACAATCAGTAATTTTTGACCTAATTCACTTCTTAGAATATCTCCAATGAAACAAAATTACAACAGGTGCGTATTAGGATATTTTGAAGAGGCCGAGTTAGTTATAGATGAGATTTTTTATATTTTTTCATTGAATAAAGAATAAACTAAAATGAAATTTTGTTAAAAGCTTGAATTTGGTATTGAGCTGTCTTAGGTTAAACGCTATTTTTTTTTAATTGAGAAAGCAATTAATAGCAGTGTTTTGAAATTCAAAATCACGAAATTTGGTATGTATATGACATAAATCAGGACTGATTGAAGAATTCAATTAGTTTCAGTCACTTCCTGTTTCACTAGAATTGACTACAAATTGTGATTTTTAAACGGTACACTCGGTATATTTTTACTTTATTTGACAGAAAATTACATTCTGAATAGAATGACTTATATTCTATGTCATCTTTTGATATCTTCGTACTCATAAAAATAGAACTTTAAATTTCAATCTAGAGTGCCATGGCTGTGCCAAACCACTAATTTTTAATTAAGGAGACCAGGAAAAATAGATTTGATCGTGTAATATTTTTCTTGATTTTTCCTGGTCGGTTAAAAGATGCCCAAATCGTATTTTTAATCATAACTCATTTTTTACAAAGTTCAAGCATTTTTTACGATTAGTTCGGTACCACATACTTGCTATTTCGAGTCAAATTTTCGTTATAAACAAAGCCATGACACTCTAGATTCTAGATTGAAATTGAAAATACAATTTTTTAAGCGAAAATGTCAAAAGTCAAATGAGATGTCATTCTATTCAGAATGTTATTTTCTATCGAATAAAGTAAAAAAATATCGAGAGTACCATTTAAAAATCAATAGTTGCAGACATTTCCGGTGAAACAGGAAGTGACCGAAAATAATTATTCATAAAAGATAAAAAAATTATATATGGATGAGCCACTTTTGAAAAACATCCGGTAGATTAATTATCTCTACTCTCATCTATATCTCTTAATAATCCCCTTGTAAAATATATGGTAATTAATGATTTATTGCATTTCAGGCGCTCCTGAAAATATCGTCCGCATATTTGAACAAGAAAATTCCGAACATACCCGACATTAAATTGGAGGGCGGAGATGAGAAATGGTAAGTAAGGGATTGTTGAGTGATAAATGCCTATTCTAATATACAGTACGGTCACCGGTTTGTTTTTAGAAGAGGAAAAACTTTTTTATTATTAACATTTGGACAAAAATACATTCTCCATAAAGCTTCATTCGGAATTAGCGGTTTCAATTATTACACGTTATACTTTTTAGTTTACGATCATTCACAATGTCTACAAAATACAATTAAAATTAATAAAATATCCTAGCAACAGCTTGCAGTAATCAGTTGTATCCATAGAGAAAGCCTAATATTTAGTTTATAAAACAATAAACTTTTGATTTCTAACCATATTTTCTCTTAACAGATGATAATAAAAGGCCAAAATGACATTCCTCGCAAGTTCTGAAGTATAATTAGTGGAAAAGTTAAAAGTTTGGTAACTTTTTCCACTAACTGAAAATTCCTACCACTAATTTTAACGCTCTGAATGCTTAAGCTACTTCCACACCGAAAGCAACACCTAGGAACATTAAGTATGTTTATGTTGCTTGTTCCTGGAACTTGTTTATGAATGTTGCCAAAAGTTTATTTAAGTTCCTCATTGTTTACGGTTGCAGCAACAAAAGTTTCTATAAGTTGCTTGTTCCCATATTTAGCGGCAAAGATCAAAGGCAATATAGAAACATTGGTAAACATTTTATGTTCCTCGATGGTATTTTTATAGTGTGGAGAGGTTGTTGCTTGTTTCCAAAACCCGAAACATGTGTCGTGAAGCCGTCGCATCGTTGCCCAAATCATCAGTTGATTTAGTAGTCTATACTAATATATAAAATCCTTAAGTGACTGACATTCTGATTAATCACGATCCTGCTCAAACCACTCAACGTAAGAAGCTCAATTTTGGCATACAGCTTGATTCTAGGGTGTAGAGGTTCGATAAGAAGGGATTTTTTGAAATTCCAGTTCCAAAAGGGTGAAACCACCCCTCAAATATTACAATATTTTTTATTTAAAAAACGGTCAAGTTTCCGAAAAAACGCTTAAACACGTATATTTTATTTTGTTTTTTTACATATTTTAAGATTTTTAAAAATGTATACAGGGTGTGTCGAAAAATCTGGTCATTGATTAATCACGATCCTGCTTAAAGCGCTTGACGTAAAAAGCTGATTTTTGGAAAATAGATTGACTTTAGGGTGTAGAGGTTCGATAAGAAGGGATTTTTCGAAACTCGAATTCTAAGGGGGTGAAACTATCCCTCAAATATTAAAATACTTTTTATTTAAAAACCGGTAAGTTTTTCGGAAAAACTCTTAAATACGTATATTTTATTTTGTTGTTTTAGATATTTTAAGATTTTTTATAAATTTATACAGGGTGTTTCATAAAATATGACCATTGAGTAATCATGATTCTGCTTAAACTGCTTGACGTTTAAATGGTTCGATAAGGAGGGGTTTCTCGAATCTCAAATTCCAAGAGGGTGAAAACGCCCCTCAAATATTACAATATTTGTTATTTAAAAAACGGTTAGTCTTTCGGGAAAACGCTTGGAGAAGCATAATTTATTTGGTTTTTTTACGTATTTTGAATTTTTTTAAAAAATCATACAGGGTGTTCCAAAAAGTTGGGTAATTTCTTAACCACGATTCTGCTTAAACTGCTTGACGTAAAAAGCTTATTTTTGGCAAACGGATTTTTCGAAAGTCAAATTCCAACGAGATGAAACTACCCCCAAGTTATATAATACTATCGCCATATTGTTTTTTCTCATGCTGACATAAATGTGAGAAAATTTTATCCAGTTTGTATGTTACTGGAAATTCTTGCTTTGTTTTATCATCACCATTACAAATGATCAATTCGACGCGAACGAAGTCGCCGGTACACGCTAGTATAATAATAAAAACAAACATGCCTTTTAAATGGATAACAGAAAATATAATGTGTTTAATTGAATAATATTATACTATATCATCTTTTTTTAATGAACTCAGAAGACGTATGACACCATGTGACTTTCTTTCTAAAAGACTTGGTCTCGTCCAACATTTACGGACTAGTTTTTTCTTTTTTTGTAAAATAATTACAATTGCAGCTGCTGCTGCCTGCAAATCTTCGTCGTACCACATTGTAAACTAGAAACAGAAAAACACACTGCACTGGTGTGGACAAATGTTTCCTGTTGCAGCAACACAACGAAACAGTCACAAGAATGAGTTACCTTGGTGTGGAAAGAATGTTTACGGAACTTTTGCTGTCGTTTCAGTTTCCATAAACAGGTTGCGGCCATCTGCAACAAAATTTTCCTCTGTGTTTCTTTGGTGTAGACGTAGCTTTACATGCAAATTAGAGGAACAAACTACACTAATTGAAACCACTAATTTATCCCATTAATAGAGAGGTTCGGAATGAAGCTTCTTTTTCTGAATGAAAAGTTTTTGATTGTTTTAAAATGGTAAATTTTGTTTGGTACTTTTACGCCTAAAGCTTCATTCAGATCATCGTATTTAGTGGAATAAATTAGTGGTCCCAGTCTAATTTTGACGTTCTGAATACTTACATTGAAATTAAAGGAACAAACTTCTAAGTTAATTGAAACCACTAATTCATTCCACTAATTGCGAGGTTCTGAATGAAGCTTAATAGGTAGTAATTATTACCAAATCTGGTATTCAGTTTATTTAAATAAGAATTCATAATTTTCAGTTTATTTAAGTAAGAAAAATTATGCAAAATCCAAATGTACAAGTTTCTTTCTGTATATTTTAAGTAATTAAAATTTCTCAAATAAAACGTCAAATAACACTAATCTTTATCGTAGATTTCAGTTAAATTAGAAAAATATTTTAATTAAAATTTCATTTTAGAAAACCTTTTATACTTGTTTATACGCAGTAGTTGCGAAGAAAATTTTTCATCTGAAATTAATTTCTTTCAAATGAATGCTATAAAATATTCAAAAGTACTGAATAAATTAAAAAAAAAACAATTAAAATATTATATTGGATGATGGAGAAAAAAGTAGAAAGCAATCGATAATTAATTAATATTGGAATATTCTTTATGTTCAAGTTGACTATTAGTGAAAAAGCAAGATCGGGAAACTATAAAAAAGGATAAATATAGATTAAGGTTATTAAATTCTCCATAGTGTTGTAAAACATAATAGGCAATCTTGGACAGCTATTTACTGGCATATCTACGTCTTAAAATTTTAACGAGTTTTCAGATAATATGGAAAATATTCGCGTTTTTCCACGCTATATTTTATTTTTCTCTAATCAATTGATTCATACAAAGGCTATTTTAGATATTTTTCAAATTTTTCAAAATAAGAGAGTAATTTAAATATATGAACATTAAATATACAGGGTTATTCACCACATACGACATGGAGTATTGCAGCTAAACGATTAGATTTTTACAAATTGTAAGTTTTGGGTTCGTTGAAAGACTATTACAGCTACAATTTAAAAAATATTTTTTCAAGATACAGAGTGTCCTAAATAAATAAAAAATGTTATACTTGAATTTTTTAATTTTTTTTAAATGGAACACCTTGTATGTTATTTTATTGTTTATTTTATTGTTAGATTTTAATGCTAAATATTTACTGAAGTTTATTTATTGATCAGCTATTGTGTTGTAATAATAAAAACAATACTAACTTAAAATTATACAGAGTGTCTAAAAATTTATTTTAAATAATTACTAGCTTTAAATGGCAATAACTTATTTAATTTAAATGGAACACCCGGTATATTCGAGAATCAGATGCCCACAAATGAGTTAATTACATACTGACATATTTCTTTTAGTTAATATATTATTCTAAATAAATGTGGATTTGAATTAGAAATCAATATAATAATAAGTTATGAAAATGAACGTCTCTGTTGTTATACGAGTAAAGCTTGATTTTCATACATCCGTTGGGTTGAATGTAAAGACTTGGATTGGTTAACCGTTTCTAACCAACTGAAGTCTTTAAAGTCAACCAATAAAATTAATATCGGACCATCGTATCAACGGATAACGGACGCATGAAAATCAAGCTTAAATAAGTATTCGTCAAAAAATGAAATAAAATTTATAAGGTGTTACTTTTTACCATAACAAGACTTTTTTACTAATACACATATAAAATTCAATTTTTTAGTAATTGGAGCAATTATTGTTAATAAACGCAAACAGTCAATTAATGCAGTTTGAATATTGGAAGCATATCAATTGGTACTCTAACATATATTTAAACAGATATTTTATAATGAAATAAGCAAAGTATATCGACAATATTAGTCGACTCTCTGTACACCCTTCAAAAATTTGTTACATCTTTAAAAATAATCAAAAATGTCAATATTCCATGGGTATATTGAAAGTATTAACTAATTATAAGAAAATGCATTTTCTACGAAAACTTGAAGAGATAGGTAAAAAATGGTATAATACAATTTCATAAACAATTTAATTGTGCATCCGATTCACGTAAAATATACAGGGTGTTCCATTTAAATTAAAAAATTTATTGCCGTTTAAATCTAGTAATTATTTTAAATAAATTTTTAGTCACTCTGTATAAGGTAGTATAATTTTTCTTATTGCAACACAAAATTTAGTAAATAAAAAAACCTCAGTACAATATTTGGTTTTAAACTTAAATGGGCCTAGAGAAATAAAGCATTAAAATAACTGTTACTTTATTTTGACAAAAACGTAAATATTTCAAAAACGGTAAGATTCAAAATGCGGTAAATCTTAATCAAATATACCTTTATTTTAATCGTAGAAACTAAAAATGTAATAATATACAGGGTGTTCCATTTAAAAGAATACAACTTTGATATTTTTTATTTATTTGGGACATTCTGTATCTTGTAAAAATATTTTTAAATTGTAGCTCTAATAATCCTTCAACGGGCCCAAAACTTACAATTTCTAAAAACCTAATCGTTTAGCTACAATACTCCGTGGCGTAAGTGGTCAATAACCCTGTACAAATCTACACTTATTTTTTGGTATATCGTAGATCGAAAAAAAACGGCGTCAAAGACGGCTGGGAATGACAATCGATTATAATTTTAGCGAGGTCAATCTCTAGACGTCATTTACTAAAATTCAACATAAAACTTAACACTAATTATAGAAAATTTAACACTAATTATAGAAAGATTCAAAACGGATAGTACGTTTCCAGACGTAGAAATCTATTTCCAAAAAATTATTTTTTCTCAAATTTTGAAATACACTATTTAAAAGTAATTTTTACTCAATATAAAAATAAATTACAACCTTTTTAAGGCCAACTAGCAGTAAGCGGCATTAAAAAATAAGGAAGAGTACGGGCCAAGTAAATGACGTCTAGGACTTGACCTTGCCAAAATTATTATCGATTGTCATTCCCCAGCCGTCTTTGACGCCATTTTTTTTTAATTCGTATAGTACTTTATTTTTCGGCGTTTTAGTTGTTAATAACAGTTTTACATAGTGGTAAATAACTGTTATTTAGAAATAACAGTTTTTCTCACCCCTAGTTTGTAGAATGAATTAAATTTGTTTAATAATTTAGGAATATGTGGAACGTATGGCGCACTGTGCTCGAGGAGAATGAAAAGCTTGCGAGAGCCAGGCTGGCGGCCGTCGAAGTATTCCAGCAACAGATAGCTGACGATGCCAAGGTCCTTCGAGCTCACAAACTGCAAATGGCCAAGAAAGTAAGACAATTTTATTAAGAACTTTTATATTTGTCACGAATACCTCTTCATATATACGATGACTTAAAGTTCCATAGAAGCTTTCCATCAAGTTATTTTTTACAAAACATTCCTTATAGAAAATTTATTTATTTACTAGTTGACCCAACTAACTTTGTACCGTCTGACAGTGACGTGAAGTCAAGTGTTTATTGTCAATTGGTACATAAGGGATGGTAGGTATACGTACGTATGACTGATGATCTGGGATAATTGAGACCAATCAATAATTATTGTTCTCTATATTTTTGTTTAAGTTTTGATTCAGGTATTTTCTATATACAGGGTGGCGCACCTCATTCGCCTCGGTTGATTATACGAAAACGGAAAGATGTAGAAACAAAATATTTTATAGATATATGTGGGGAGATAATGTCCACAATTTAAAATTATTTTGAAATGTACAGGGTGTTTCAGAACTAAGATTCATACCAAAGTTATTTTTTTTCTTATGGGACACCCGGTATTTTATTTCATTTTTGGATTCTTGGGCCCAAAAAAAAGTATTTATTATAAGAGTTAATATGTTTAAAATCTTTGGTTTTTGAGATATTGAAAGATATTTAAATTTGCATGCTACAATAGAATAGATTATTAACACCCTGTACATTATTTTTTAGAATTATTTCTTGTATTGAGTTTAAAGGTAGAGAAATAAACTTCACAGAAAACTCTTATTCCTTTCTTATATGTACCTATACAGGGGTATCAAAAATTGCTGGTCTATTTTAAATATTTATTTTACATAAAAACTTTGTTATTTCAAATGCAACACTATATATTTTTTTAAATAAGTCGAAGCAGATTTAAATGCTCTTTCAAACTATATTAGGGTTTCCTATACCTATCTGGCTTTGAATAAAAAGCGATTTTTCAATAGAATTGTAATCAAGATGGCTAGTGTTGTCATGGCAAGTTTCTAGTGACAGTTAGTAGCTATTTTCAAAATCGAAATTAGTTTATGCACTTATTTAAATTTATACCAGTTTACTTATATTTAATTTACCTACAATAGTTTAATAAAAAATGTAATTAAATTAAAAATAATATTTATTAAATATATGTTTATTATTCTATCAAGAAAAACGAAGAAGTAGTCTTTAAATTATTTTACGATGACTTGTAGATCATAGATTTTCTATAAAAGAGCCAATTCTGCGTTTTCTTCACTTCCAACGATAGGTTCCTGCCTAATAGGTTTTTTATAAACCACACTACCAGGCAAAATAGGACAAGAAGTTTTTCAAAGAAACTCTTATCAGGAAGATTCCTATTTGGATATCTTTGAGCATAAGCCCTTGAGGCCAAGAAGCAATTTTCCTCACAAAATAATATCACTAGTAACATATCTATTCGTTTCGCCAGCAGATACTGCTTTATTTTTCTTGATAAAATAATGAATACTTACTTATTAAATAAACTATTGTAGGTAAATTTAAATAAACTGTTATATCCATAAAATAGATCAGCAACTTTTAATAGCCTTGTATAAATTTAAGAAACAAATACCATTTTTCAGTAAAGTTTATTTATCTACCTTTAAACTCAGCATAAGAATTAGTTCTGAAAAGTAATGTACAGGGTGTTAATAGTCTATTCTATTGCAAAAAATAGGCTTGAGAGATACATTGAAAACTCCACAGTAAAAACATCACTGACCAGTCAACCACACTAAGTTTTTTTACCACGTTGAGTAAGTTATTTCTACTTGACTCTTATAGCCTTTTCTGTAACATGTATTTCCATTTCAGTGTCCTGAGGATGGAATAAATAAATTCCGAAAGCTTGACTATTAACAAAGTGTATTAATTCTAGTCCAAATCCTTCCGACTGCAACCCCACTATTTCCTGTATTCCCAGATTTTCTTTCTCACTAGTCAGTCGATACTACTGTCTGCGTGCTTTATCTATAAACATATTTTTAAATTATGAGCTATTATTGCTCGCATATTTTTTAAAATTATTAATGTAAAAATCTCAAATAGAAAACCTAATAAGCTGCTTTTCCGGAACACTTGATCCCCTTGTATATTGTTTTACATATCTTTTGTAAAAAAATAATTTACAATTATTTTTAATGTAATTTTAATGAAATCGTGCATTTAAATAATTTTATCATCAATTCTTATAAAATCAACAATAAGGTATTAATTAAAATATAATTAAATAAAGCCGAGAAGTTACTGGAATGACTTTATCGCGTAGTGTGCTCTAATCTTATCCATGTTTTTTCAGGTCGTCGATCAGTTGGCGCAGGTCCAAAAAGAACTCCAAACCTGCGTTCAGGATCTCGATAAGACAAAAAAGCTGTATTTCGACGAGGAACATTCGGCCCACGACGTTAGAGACAAGGCACGAGATATAGAGGAGAAGTACGTATCGTATTATAGAGTATTATGTTTTATGGTGTCGTTAGATCTTTACAGTGAAACATACGGTCGTAAAGCAGTGCAGTTTTGCACCATCTTGCGCTAGAAAGTTTTGAAGAATTGATTTTATTCCATTTAATATCTCATTTTATCAGCTTAATTTGCTTTTTTTAATCATTAAAATGTAAGCCACGTGGGTTAATATGGTAATGATAATATGTAATTGACCTATAAAATTTAATTTATTTTCATAAATTGGATTTATTAGTGGGATATAAATGAAATTCTGCGATACATAATTAGAAATAAAATGACTTAATATTTTAAATAAAAATATGGTTATAAATATACAAGATGGTTGTATAAAGCATAGATAAATGCAACAAGTTTAGATTGGAAAGCCCGTAAAAATTTTAGTTCGCGAAATTATTTTGGGTCGCGACCGTTATACGCGATCTGGCGCTGCTTAGCGGTTGCTAACAACAACGGCAAACAAAAACAGAAATAATTTTCTCTTGTCAAAGTCAGAATCTTCAAAAATCATAATAATCTTTCAAAATCTAAACCGCTCTCATTAAAGAAATTCCGAAAAGTGTTTATAGCGTCTATTCTCAAAGTAATTATTGCTATCTTGTGAGTTTAATACACGTTTTATTTACTCCAATCGGTGATAATTGTGAAAAAGTGGCATTAAAAACTTAAAAAGCTGTGCTGAGAACTGTGAACTGCAAAAACCATCGTGGATCGTGGCATAACGTCGGTTTCCAATGTTTCATAGGTATTTCATACATGCGTCCTTATATAAAATAAAGTTTCTTGTATGCAACACACTGTATTTTATTTATAAAATTAAACGAAAATAATAATAAATTTGAATAAAACAAAATTTGGCGATATAATTCCGGAAAAAGCCGAACCGCTCCGAAATTTTCAAAAGTTTTGGGTCGCGACCGTTGCAAGAATAGCGCCAAATAGTGTTTACATTGTCCTTATGGGCACTTTCCAATCTAAACTTGTTTCATTTATCTATGGTATAAAGTGTGTCCAACGAGAGGATACATGACAGTGAGAGGTTTTACTGTAATTCTAAATCATGAGTAAATTTAATTTTCTGCCATTTTTTTGATGTCGTCTATCGAAGTTTTCCCTGACTCGGTGGGCAGACTTTACTTATATAGTCTGTGAAATGAATAACTTTAAATTTGACAGTTCCCGCGGGCTTTTCTAGTGTTAATTTTATTAGGTTAGCAACTTGCGGCCATGTTGACGCAATGCCGTCTCTAATAGAACAGCTAATATATAAAATGACAGCGATCTTTATTTCATAGCCATCACTGACGCCTTTTTTTTCTATGATATTGTATTATTTGCAAATATAATTTTTCGGACATTGATACTTGCAAAATATACATATAAATTTTGTGAATGCCAATAATAATACATCTCTATTAGTAGATATTGAATGTTTTTGTTAAATTAGATCGGTTTTCAAACCCCAAAATTTAAAATATATTTTACATTTTACCTATTATCTTATGTACCGATTCATTATTTGTATATTGTAAAACATTTGCTGCATTTGTATGGCTCATAGTTTATTTGCCAAAGTATTTATTACTATAAATAGGTATATATATATATTGTATTTATTAACTGTATATTATGTATATTTCATGTAAACTATATCATTTTTAAAATACAAACCAAAAATATGAAGTATAATTATTTTTTCCATGTATTCTACAACATATTTATTAATCCGTAGTATCTAACTAGCGTGACGTCATAAATCTCGCTTCTAGGCTGTTCTATTAGAGACGGCATTGGTCTGATATTTAGAAATGTCAAAAGCTGATGACATTTTACTTTTGACATTATGACATTTCGTGTTGATTTTTGCAAGAAGAGGAAGAACTGTCACTTGTTTTATTATTTTCCTTTTCTACTTCACGAAAGTAAAAAGAGTAAACCTATCTGATTCGTTCAGGCACTCAATTTAAAGAATATCAGTAACTTTTTTGACAGAGGGATTTTATATTTGCCATGTTGGTAAAAAATAACGGTCACAATTCAAAGTTATTCATTTCAGAGACTATAATTGTGAAAGTTGCATTAATGACGTTTAAAGCATAAACTGCAACAGATTATTAAATAATTTATTCTCTTCTAAGTATAAACTGTAACAGACTATTAAATCAGTGGTATAAACTGTAACAGACTCAGACAGTGTATGAAAAATTTATATTTTTTCTTATAAAATATTAGAAATACTTAACCTTACCATATTAGTTGCAAGTCTCAGTTTGGAGATTTCACACTCTCTTAATTACAAATTACAAGTAGACTAATTTAATTTTTAAATATTCAGGTTTAGCATCATTTTTAAGCGTAAAATTATTTTTCACATCATAACCTAGATGTGTCTGATGCACATTTCTTTGTTGCAAATAATATAAAACGATTTAAAAGCAATACCTTGTAAGTAATTATATATCGAGAAACTATATCTCGTTGTATTTGACACAATGTCAATTTAATAATATAATAAAATTATATAAGGATTCTTGCCACTTAACTGCTAATATAGAAATTTAGTTCTACGCTGTGTTTGTCATAATGCGGATCAACCTGCTCTCACTACCGGTTTCGGAGCCCTACTCCATCATCAGGTGAACTTGGGAGATCCACAAAATGACAACCACAGCGCAGAGATAGTTAATTCCGACTTGTCGGAAAGTATCGGTTAGATATTACGCACAGTATCGAAAGTTACCGAAGGTATCGGTTACATATTAGGCACGCAGGCCGCTATCTCCCGTTCGGGACTTAATATCTAACCGATACTTTCCGACAAGTCGGAATTAACTATCTCTGCACTGTGGTTGTCATTTTGTGGATCTCCCATGCTCACCTGATGATGGAGTAGGGCTCCGAAACCGGTAGTGAAAGCAGGTTGATCCGCATTATGACAAACACAGCGTAGAATTAAATTTCTATATTAGCAGTTAAGTGGCAAGAATCCTTATATAATTTTATTATATACCTCTACTGCAAGAAATTTGTTTCCTATTTTTTAATAATATATAATTTTATACTTTTGTGCTTAAGCGTAAAAGTGCTTTACTTTTAGACCTAAGCGTTAAAATGACGTTTTTAATTGTCAATAACGTCGCAAAAAATTATACTTCTGTGAGGTTTGAAAAATATAATAGTATATTGTTTTATTAGACTAGACGTTTTATGCCTCGGCTGTATATCGAGTGTCAAATGTACAGCCACAAAAAGTGTCATTTTTACGCCACATTACACACGTATACATATTTTCGTACTTTTATGCTTAGGCGTAAAAGTGCTTTACTTTTATGCTTAGGCATTGAAATGACTTTTTTATATTGTCGATCACGCTACAAAAAAATAATACTTTTGTGACGTTTGAAAAAAAAATATTTTCTTTGAAACAATGTCACAATATAAAGAAACTTCATAACATTTCAAAAACTTCACAACTTCAGAACATGTCATTGTCATTTGGTGGTTCAAAAGAAAAATAATTATATATTTTTTCTAATTTTAAATGTTTTACAATTCTGTACTGTGTGTGACATCCCTAGATGATTCCTATTCTTACCGGTGGCACCAAAGACGTGCCTATCATATAATGCTAGGTTATGGTTTAGACGTATTATTTTTGTTCTATACAAAGTGTCTTAAATTAATATAAATAAAGTGCAAATGCTCTCAGCTCAATAAAAGAAACATATTTTCTCTTTTCCAAATTTTTTTCCAATAAAAAGTTTTTCAAATAAGTCCAAAATAACTTACGAATATTTAACGAATTATTTTAACGAATTATTTTACTTTGAAAATTAAAAAAAATGATTTTTCGCTTAAATTTTGAGCTTAATTTTTTTTTTACCACTGGATCTCTTCTGGGTTTTCTTCCTTGTAAATTTAAGCTACTATGTTGCCATATTATCAAGATATGTTTTTAACTAAAAATTAAAATTAAACAAAAAAAAATTCAAACAATTCCAAATTTTCAAAGAAAACTCATAGAGATGAATAAAAATATATACAGAAATAAACACTTTTAAGTCAACCTCTAAAATAAAGCTTAATCTATGTAATAATAATATTATATTTTAGATTGCCATTTAAAGATGCAAAGAAAAAAAAATAATAACGAAAGACTGAAATGAGAACATGGACAAATCAACAAAATTTCAGATTATAAACTCGTAATTTCTCGGAAGTTTTGGAGCAAGTGGGTGTAAAATATCAGATAACGAACTGCGTTCGTTCTAAAGTTTTGGACGGCAAATACTTCGTGCGAGAATAACTCGATTACGTCATATCTTACTTTTAATCTAGTTTCATTTGGAAAAGTAATTTTTCAATAAAAAAATATTAAAAGGCCGATTTTAACTCTTTCTTGTTCCTTTTGTACAAAATTAATTTTTGAAGGTTTGAAGAAGACATTTTCATCTCAGACAAATAATATTACATAGGGTTGCCAACCGTCCTCTATTCCAGGATTAAAGACAGTCCTCTTTTTGATCGTACTGTTTGTTCTCTTTTCTCTCACGGATTGAATAAGTCCACTTTTTTACACACTAAACCAAAAATTTTAAAATATTTGTCTATCGCCACAATGATTAATAAAATTGTTAATCTAGCGACAATGTGTCTCGCTACTCCCACTCGTTCGCACAGAAAATACAAGAAATATTTTTGGGAGCGATAAACGTGTTTAGCAGTTTAGCTGTTTTAACAGAAAAATGTTAGGTTAGCACTTATTGATTAAAAAATTTTATTAGAGAAGATCGTATATGATTATACATAATTTCCTGGTAAGGATCTTACCAAAAATATATTCTCTGTTTCTCTCTAAAACATCCTTATAGAAAATGCCATCGAGATGGCATTTGGGACTTTAGAAGCTCTTAGAATCCATTTTTAAACAAATAAAGTTGATGACGATAGGTTAAAGTCGGTTTGAAAAT